ATCTTGTATTTATAGTTACTATACAAAGAAGTAAAAGACGAGTATACCCTTTGTGTGGTATACATATTACAATAAACGTAAACCCCAGTTATATTATAGTAACTTTCTCAACATTCTCAATCAAGCTGGAATATAGATATCAAATAATCCAAGCTTGGAACAAATATCCGCAAGATGAGTACGACTCAATGTTTTAATGAACATCTCTGCATGTTAAGCCTCAGATCTCAAAAATGGAGTTGCAATGTCTCCACTTAGTATCTTGTCTCGAATAAAATAGCAGTCAACTTTAATATATTTGTTTCTCTCATGGAACACTGGATTGACAGTAATATGAATGGCTATCTGATTATCATAGAAAAGTTGTAACGGTAGCTGAACTGGAAACCAATTTTTCGAATAAAGTGTAGTAACCATGTGAACTCACTAGTCATATGTGTCATTACTCTGTACTCAGCCTTAGCACTAGATCGTGCTACCACTGTTTGGTTTTTTACTTTTATATGAAACAACATTATGTCCCAAGAAGGTGCAATAACCAGTAGTTGACTGTCGATCAGATGGAGAACTAGCCCAATTAGCATCCGAAAAACCTTCCACTCGAAGATGTCCATTAACTTGATATAATAAGTCAAGACCAAGGGCACTTTTGAGATATCGAAGAATACGAATGACTGCATCCCAATGTGGTACTCTAGGACATCCCATAAACTGACTTACTGTATTGACTGCATATGTAATATCTGGTCGGGTAATAGTGAGATAATTAAGCTTCCTAACCAACCTATGATATCGACCTGGGTTATCAAATAGAGCACCATCATCCATCAACAACTTCTGATTTGGATCCATAGGACTATCAACTGGTCTGCTACATAGTAAACCTGTCTTTTCTAGCATGTCAAGTACATATTTCCATTGAGATAGACAGATATCCTACTTAGATATGGCAACTTAAACACCCAAGAAGTGCCTAAGTTTTTTCAGATCCTTTGTATGAAATTTGTCTTGTAGAAATACTTTTAACTTAGTAATGCCCTCAGAATCATTATCAGTGATTACGTTATCATCAACATAAATCACCAATAGGGCGTACCCTACATCTTTCTGTCTGTAAAAAATAGGATGATTTGTCTGACATCGAAGAAGAACAAACTCTAATACTATATTGGAGAATTTACAAATCCATGCTCTTGGTGACTACTTCAAATCATACAGAGATTTCTTCAGTCGACACACACTCCTACAATACTCCCCCTAAGTAGTAAACACATGTGATTGCTCTATGTAGACTTCCTCAGCCAAGTCACCATTCAAGAATGCATTATTGACATCTAACTGAAATAGGGGCCAACCAAAATTAGCTGCCAAAGAAATTAAAAAACGAACAGAGAAGATCTTGGAAACGAGAGAAAATGTCTCTGCATAATCAACATCATATGTTTTGAGTAAAACCCTTAGCAACAAGTTGAGCTTTGAGATGCTCAACAAAATCATCTAGATTAAACTTAGCAGTGTACAGCCATCGAGAACCAACCATCTGATTGTCATGCGGTAAGGGAATAAGATCCCAAGTCCCATTATGATGTAAGGCATCCATTTCAATTTACATGGCTTTTCTCCAACCTGGATCAGACAAGGCACCCTATACAGTCTTAGGAATAGAAACAGTAGAGAGATGTGTGGTAAAGTAGGAAAAGGCAGGTGACAAGGCATCATAAAAAATAAAATTATTAATAGGATGATTAGTAACACATGATTGAGTACCTTTCCTAAGAGTAATCGGTAAGGAATTAGAATTACTTGAGGAACTCAGATCAGGAGATGGGAAGGAAGCTGGCAAGGGCACTTCAGCTGATAACTGCGCACGACAAAAGTATACACGAAGCAGAGCATGAGATAGGGATACAATAGATAGAGGAGTAGGTGATGGTACAGGGGGAGGTTGTGGTGTAGGCTGCCCAAAGTCAAGTTCCAAATGCTACTCAGGAGCCAAAAATACGAAACCTCTTTATTAAAAATGACATCAGCACTAGTGAAGTATCAACGAAGAATAGGACTATAACATCGATACCCCTTTTGTGTATAAGAGTATCCAAGGAAGACACACTTGGTAGCACGAGGGTCAAGTTTATCAAATTCTGGCCCCAAGTTATGGACATGACAAACACACCCAAAAATTTTAGGAGCTAAGGAGAATAAGTAGGTATAAGGTACAAGGACGGAGTATGGACTTTGCCCATTTAACACAGACAACGACATGTGGTTAATAAGGTGACAGGCTATAAGAAAAACATCATTCCAAAAAACACATGGTACATACATTTGAAATAATAATGCACGGATAACTTCCAACATATGTCGATTATTACGCTCAGCAACACCATTCTGCTAAGAAGTATAGGCACAAGAAGTTTGATAAATAATGTCAGTCCTACCAAGATAAGAGGATAAATGATCATATTCATATTCGTTAGCATTATCAGAACGAAGAATACGAATGCGACAACTATATTGTGTTTTTAATTACTGACGAAACGTCTCAAATATAGAGCATAACTCAGAACGAGCTTTAATAAGAAATATCCAAGTCACACGAGAATAATCATCCACAAATGACACAAAATAAAAAAATTTATTAGATGAAATATTCTTTATTAGGCGTCATACATCAAAATGAACCAAAGTAAATGGACTCCATACATGATTATTGACTCTAGATTGAAAGGAAACACGGTGATACTTACTAAGTTGATAAGCTTCACAAGACACAAACGACACATGATTGAGACTAGAAACTTGGTTCTTCAGGTTCTAGAGTGAAGAATGACTAAGTTGACAGTGCCACTGAAAGGGAGATGACGAGGTCTGAGAGGCCCAAGGAGATGTATCAAGATCAAGATAATAGAGACCACCAGCTTCATGCCCATACAAATCTTCCTCTTCGTTTGGAGCTCTTGAAACACAGAGTAGGAAGGAAAAAAGGTTACCAAGCAATTAAAAGAGCGAGTAATCTTGCTAATGGAAAGTAAACTAAATGAAAATTGGGGAAAAAATAACATTGATGATAAGGACATGTTAGTACTCAATTGAGTAGTCCCTAAAACTGAAACTTTAGAGGAAGTGTCATTAGGAAGAACAACACTATGTGGGAAATTAATAGACTGATAAGTAGAAAAGACACCAGATGAACAAATCATATAGTCAGAGGCGTCAAAGTCTATTATCTAGGGGCTGCGAGTGGAGGACAATAAACAAGTGAAAACAGTACTTGACTGGGCAAATGTGGCTGTGGAGGAGGATGAAACAACCTATTGTTGAGACAGAAGCTGAGCATACTCTTAGTGGATAAGTGTAACCGACCTAGAGTCAGGTGGAGAAGGTTGTGAAGTATCATCCTTATAAGAGGCCTGATAAGCAATGCCCAAATTCTTACCATGTAAATCCCAACAATAATCAACAGTGTGTCTTCCACGACCACAATGAGTGCACACAGAAGAACCAGATCGACCACCACGACCTCCAGTACGGTCTCCTCTTCCCTCACGACCACCACGGTTGCCACGACCACCTCAAGAACTATCATTATGGCTAGTAAGACCAAGTGCTGAGCGGTCATAAGGTAAACTACAGTTAACACCAAAAGTCCCAGTAGACAATGTAACATGTTGTTAACGGGAGAAAACCTCAAGCAGAGATGGGAGGCTAGAATTATCCAAAATTTGAGAACGAACAGCCTTATATTCAGGTTTCAAACCCATCAGAAAATGAACAACATTCACATATTCATGCTGCTTCTGCCACATTGCAGCATCGATGGTAAACGGGTGGTAAAGCTTTAGTTCCTCACAAACTCCTGTGATATGGGAATAATAATATGTAAGGCTCAGATTGCCTTGGTCTAAACGAAAGTAGTTTTGACACTCCTCATATACATAAGTAAAATTACTTGTGCTCAAATACAAAATGGTCAAGTGATCCCAAATTTCTTTAGCCATGTCAAGATAAAGTAAAGTGGAGCTAATACTAGTCTCAATACTATTCAATAATAAGGAGATAATTTGAGCATCTATCTGTTCCCACTGATCATAGCCAGGAGTACCTTTTGTGGGTTTAGGGTCCACTAGATATTTTTTGAGGCCTTTACCTTTCAGAAATATTTGAACTGATTGTGACCATAAAACATAATTAGTCCCATTAAACTTGACCGACATCATAGAACCATTAAATATAACAGTAGAAGACAAACTAGGTGACATAGAAGAAGTAACAATAGATACGTCATCATTCTTGGATTCCATAGCCATAGAAGAGCTGAACCAAGCTAGAATAGTGCGCAAAAGGAGCTGAATAGTGCTGAACCTGAGTTAAACCGGCAGGAGAATGGGGAAACTAGAGTTGAACCGGTGGAATAAGACCTGGACGATACTAAACCAGAATCGAACCGGTGAGTATGAACCTGAATAGTGTTGAATCGGACCCAAACCAATCAAAATTTAGACCTGGCCAGTAGAAACTGTGGCAAACTATGATGAAACAGGCTTAATCAGGCCTAAGCAAGACTAGACCATGTAACACTGATTTGTACCAGACTAAGATTCGCTTGAATTGGTGCTGAAATGTAACGAACCAGACTTGAACTGTGATGAACTGGCTTGAACCAACTTGAACAAGCATGAACCAGCTAGGCTAAGACTGGGCCACTAAAGGACATGGGCTGGACTGGGTTGGGTACTTGGGCCAAAAGGGCTTAGGTTTTTGTTTTTTTTTTTAAACCCTAGCCCACAACTATCAAAGATCTGACCCGACCTGAACCCTTACTGTTCACCTTCTTCCCAACAGGGTTTTGTGAGCAAACCCTAGCCTCCAACAGGTCTGTTCACGGGATAGACTCTACACAATGGCGACCCACGATGCTATCTATGACAACATCGATGACTACCACCACTACATCGACAGTGATCAATTGTGAAGTTCACATCACCAACCAGTGACGATAATTAGTTGATGACGACGAACAACGAAAACACCATTGCCACCATAAACACCACAAATACGAAGATCAACTCAGCAGAAAAACCACTGAAACCACCATTGATTTCAATCCGAAGCCACACCTTTGGAATGCACAATTCCAATGCAGACCTATACAACACCGGTAGAGACCCACTAAAGGCGCGAAACAGAAAGGAAGGAAAAGAAAGAGAAAAGAAAAGAAGAGAAAAAGAAAAGAATTAATAGAATATTAGACCTAATTGCTTTGATACCATCTTAAATTTGGAGAGAAGTTTAACACAGTATGAGAGAGGCAAATAGAGGTTTTAACTTACCCTACCTCTCACTTTTAATCATGTATTTATAGTTATTAAACAAAAAAATAAAAGATGAGTATACCCTTTATGTGGTATACATATTACAATAAACGTAAACCCTAATTATATTATAGTAACTTTCTTAACAAACTTGATTGAAAGAAAGCTTGTACTGCCTCAAAGATATCAGATTCTACAGCATGTCAGTACTTATGATAGAAAATACCTAAAAAGCCATTTAGACTTGATGCCTTCATACTCCCTATACTGAAAGTAGCTGCCTTCATTTCCTCCCTTGTTGGTGCCCTCATCAGATTGGAATTCATCTGACCTGTAACTTTCTATGGAACCTCATGCAAAATAAGGTAAAAGTCCCTCTCTCCTTCTGAGGTAAATAATCTTGAATAGTGCTCTTGAACCAACTGCTTTATCATCTCCCCTTCTGTTACCCATAGACCCTGAAAATTCGATTTCTCTGCCTCCATTGGATGTTGGTTGTATGAACAAACCTTGTGTTCTTGTCTCCACACTTGATCCATTTTAACCTAGACCTCTGTTCCCAATACTTTTCTTCTCTTATCCACAACTTTTCAATTTATATTGTAATCTTCTTTACCTCCTCTTGTGTTGAGGAGTGATGAGGATCATTTTGCAGTCCTACTAGATTATCTTTCAACATGTCAATTTGTTTCTTGCTTGTTTTTTTTAATTATGTATAACTCCATCTCTTCAGATCTCTTCCATAGTTTCTTTGTTTTTGATTCAGTTCATACATCTAGGACCCCTGTATCTACTACTTCCAACTCTCCTTAATCACTTCATCACACTGCTCCTCATCCACCCTGTAAGCCTCAAAATGAAAAGGATTTCTTATCTTGCTCATTTGTGGTTCAATTTCCAATCATAAAGGCGAGTGGTCAAAGCCAATAGCTAGATGTGCAACTACTACTGCACTTGGGAACATAACTCTACAACTAGGTGAAGCCAATGCATTGTCTATCTCTCTTTGACATTTTCTGAACTCTATCTATGATTATCCCACATGAATTTACATCCTTTAATTTCCAAGTCGATTAATCCACTATCATCCAAAAAGATTCTGAAACTTCTCAAATTTTCATTTGCTCCTTCTTTGGAAAACTCTTTCTCAAGACTAGAGACAATATCATTGAAATCTCCCACACCCAACCAAGGAAGTTTAAGACACCTCCCATAATCACCAAATTTCTCCCATTGTTTACATCAAATCTCATAATCTAGATGACCATAAATAAATGTCAAGTGCCAAGGTCCCTCACCTACATGAGAGCTGACATTAATATTCACATGGTTTTGCTCAAATCAGTCACCTTTAAATTTGCATTTGCTATCCACATGATACACAACCCTCCAGAGAGACCTACTTGTTTCCACAACCATTTTTCTTTCATAATGTTACTCCCTCCCTTTTCTCTCTACTCTCTCTCTTTTCATTCTTGTTACACTCAAATATACTACTTAAGGCTTAATCTATGAAATGATTTTCATGGCGAGGTTAGGGGCATGTTAAGGCCCACCTCCTCGGCCATAGATGAAACTTCAGTTGACCATTCCACACTAACTTCTTGCAATTAATCAGAGTCTTTATCATACCTCTGCTTAACTGATTTACATCCTCCAAATTCACGAACTGATTGCCTTTTAATCTTGGAGCCTCCTCCTCTGCTGATCTCATTCATCTTGATTAACTTACTCACTAAAGTAGGGCATTCCTCCATTGTGGCTGTTGTTTCACTCTAGGGGTGTTCATTAGTTTCCTTTTTCTCTATGCAGTTCACTATTAACTTCTCTTTTGCTTGTCCCCCCTAATTTGGAATCAAAGTGAGGAAACCATCCTCTCTTCTTCACGCTTTCATAGCCCTTTTCACAGACCAATCTCCTGGTACCTTCCTTTTAAATGATAGCTTTTAAAATACAATTGCCATACAGTGATACACCAATTTTTTCAGGTTGGAGGTTGGGACAGATTTCATTGGGTGCATGAATTCAGCCATGGGAGACTCCTTGGACACATATGTTGTATTGAGTTGGTGGGTAGTAGCTACTATCTTCGTTTGAGTATTTGTTAGTGAAAATTGGGGTTGAGTCCACTTGGATGGACTTATAATGACTTGAGTTTGTCAAGGAAACTTATTTGGTGATAAGTCCATTTTTTATCATACTAATAAGTATTTAAGTTCACTATTTTTTTAAATCTCAAAAATGTCTTTCCTTGAAAGGAGGTTAAATTAATTTTATAGCTTGGAAATTGTTATCCCTTAATTCAATGTCAATTAAAATATGCAAAAAAAATCTCTATCATAAATTTAAAATTCAAATTCAAAGCTTTATCTTTCTTTGTCTCTCCGACCAGCTAGTGGCGACGTCATCACCATCTCCGTTCGTCTCTCTCATCCATGGCTTCTTTGCTAACTTTTCTCTCCTCCATCGTCAAAGTTGTTTAATCAATGTCAAACTTCTCTCCTCAAAAGCCCAATCCAACTCATAACGGAATGTACGTCCAATTGATGACGGATGAGCAGATGGAGCTTTTAAGGCGACAAATCTCAGTCTATGCTACCATATGTGAGCAACTTGTAGATATGCACAAAGTCGTCAGTGCTCAGTAGGATCTTGCTGGTCTTCGCTCTCTCTCTCTAGAACTTGATTCCTTGTGATACATTAGTAGTTGAAATTACGTTTGGTTAAATTTAATAATTTAAAGTTGTTAGGGTATGATAATGGGTGCTCGATTGTTTTTTAACATTGATTATTTCACTTTTTTGTCAATTATGCTTTTGGTTTTTTTTTTCTAAGTTCCTTTCCTTTAATTTTCTATGAGTTATGTCAATTTTGTGGGTACTGGATGAGAATCTCTAGTCCTTGTTAATTTTCTTCTTTTTGTACTTTGTGGTATTTTCGTGGGGGTTGATTTGGTAAATTGAATGTGTTATGTTACCATTTTTTTTTGCTATACTATTGTTCATGTTAATGTTTTTGTTGAATATGTTATTATTATTTTGAGTATGTTACTACTTTTGTTCAGCATGTTACTACTATTATTTTCCTAAATATTAATATTCAATGTTACTATTTTTTTTGTTTTTGAATATTAATATTTTTGTGTTTGAATGGTACTATTTTTTGCATTTGAAGTTGAGAGAGGTAATTATTTTTAAGCATGTTACTATTTTTTTAAACATGTTACTATTTTTGTTAAACATATTACTATTATTATTTTTTAAAAGTATTAATATTGAATGTTACTATTTTTTTATGTTTAAATGCTACTATTTTTTTTTGTATTTAAATGGTATTATTTTTTGTGTCTAAATGATAAATATTTTTTTTTGTATTTGAATGTTACTATTTTTTATTTTTAATGTTACTCTATATATATATATGACAGATATAATCCTAACCTATATATGAATAGGGGTAACCCGTGCCTGTAGGCACGATGTAATATGAATAGTTTTAAAAAGGATGTTGGTGACCGTTGAATAAGTCAATTTGAGACCGTCGGATGAGTTCATTGAAATTTACCTTATTTTATATCATAGATTATTTTTCTAAACATACCAGTCCAAGAAAGAGCTGTCCACTTGAAAATATCTTCCATCACATAAAATGAAGTTAATTTCATCTGCAATTAAGTTGTACAAATTGTATTTTTTTTTTACTCATCTCACTATTAACATTTTCTGATCCAAGGTCTTCCCACTCAACACATGTGCCCACATTTTTTACATACAATTCATTATAATTCATATCATAAACACAATCATCCAAGCCCGAATAATTTGGATCAAATTCAACATCGTTATCACTGTTAATCTCAGTGTCCACCTCATCATGTATAAATTAAGGGTAAGGGTCAATGATATAACTATGGTTAGAGCAGTAAGTGAAGACAATAAGAGAAATAAACAGAAATTGCCCTTTTGAATTTATCTAACCATTTGGTGTTTGTGATGAAAATGGATCAAAGTCTCTTATGAAAACACAATCAATACTTTAAGGATTAAATTGGACAAATCGAAACTCCATGGATTAAATGTGAACCGCATCAATACTTTAATGCTTTGTTTGGTAGGATGAAAAAATGGAAGGATGAAATGTTTGAAGGATAAAAAGATAGAGGGATAGATAAAACATCATATTTGATAAGGAAGAAAAATAGAAAAGATGAAATAGTTGATGGATTAACTTTCTTTCCAACTCTCTAAAATCAATCGCCTATGTTTGAAGAGCAAGAAAAACACATAACCAATCAATCAATTATGATAGATTAATAAAATCATTAGATCTACGTTACAATTCTATTGTGTAACTAAGGGTTTAGAATTTAGTACCGAAAAATCATTTTTCAATACATTATTTTTATTTTTAGCAGATTACAAAGTAATACGTATAAAATTTTATCATTTATTTTTCTTATTATTTTATTTAAAAATAACTCAACACAACGTTTATTAGCGTGAATTAATGATATTACAAAACCATATATTGGCTTATCGTAAACCAAGCATCAATCATTTTATAGTTTAATTGTTGATCTATCAATTTGGCTATTCTCAACAACTAATAAAGAATACAAAATTGTTGTAGCATCCGATTTGGTTTGATTGAGTGCATAAACAATATGATTTGGTTTGATTGAGTGCATAAAACAATATAATTTGGCAGTTGTTGTATCAACTTCAAAATCTTCACCAACAAATTAACATCAACCTTACATTAATTATATGATTTGATTATTGCCCTATCAATTATATGAGAAAACAATCGTAACTCGTCCCGGAAGGCACGATAAAATATAAAATTCATGTGTCTAAAAAATTGATTCCAATATATTAAATAATAATTTTTCTTTCCTTCATTCATTTGATTACATCATTTAAAATTTATTTTTTACCCATTATTTTTGTAAAAATATCAACAAAAATACGTAATTCGATGAATTTTTTTAATATGTATATATTATCGTATGTGGATAATGTTTGAAATAAAAATTATATTAAACTATAAATCAATCAAATATTACATAATTAAGTATGTGTTATAAATGATTGATGTGATCATTTTTTGGGGGAAAATATGTGTATGATAAAATTTTAAACACCTAGTTGTTTTATTATATAGACTAAGGGTAACCCGTACCTGAAAGTATGGTATAATATGAATAGTTTTGAGAAGGATGTTGGTGGTCATTGAATAAGTCTATTTGAGACCGTCGAATGAGTTTATTGAAATTTACTTTTTTTTATATCATAGATTATTTCTCCAAACATACCAGTTCAAGAAAGAGCTGTTCACTTGAAAATATCTTCCATCACATAAAATGAAGTTAATTTCATCAGCAATTAAGTTGTCCAAATTGTTTTTTTTTTTTTTACTCATCTCATTTTTAACATTTTCTTATCCAAGGTCTTCCCACTCAACACTTGTGTCCACATTTTTTACATGCAATTCATTATTACTCATATCATAAACACAAGCATTCAAGTCCGAATAAACTGGATCAATTTCAACATCTTTATCAATGTTAATCTCATTGTCCACCTCACCATATATAAGTTAAGGGTAAGGGTCAATGATATAACCATGGTTAGAGTAGTGGGTGAAGATAATGAGAGAAATAAATGAAAAATGTCCTTCTGAATTTGACTAACCGTTTGATGTTTGTGATGAATATTGACGAAAGTCTCTCATGGAAACACAATCAATACTTTAAGGATTAAATTGTACAAATCGAAACTCCATGGATTAAATAGGAACCACATCAATACTTTAATACTTCGTTTGATAGGATGAAAAAATAGAAGGATGAAATATTTGAAAGATAAAAAATTGGAGGGATAGATAAAACATATACTGAATAAGGAAGAAAAATTAAAAATATGAAAAAGTTGATGGATTAACTTTCTTTTAATTGTCTAAAATCAATCGCCTATATTTGTAGAGCAAGAAAAACACATAACCAATCAATCAATTATGATAGATTAATAAAATCATTAGATCTAAGTTACAATTTTCTTGTGTAACTAAGGGGTTAGAATTTAGTATTGAAAAGTCATTTTTCAATACATTATTTTTATTTATTGCAGATTATAGAGTAATACGTATAAAATTTTGTCATTTATTTTTCATCTTATTTTATTATTTTGTTTAAAAATAACTTGACACAAGATTTATTGGTGTGAATTAATGACATTACAAAACCATATATTGGCTTATTGGAAACCAAGCATCGATCATTTTATAATTTAATTGTTGATATATCAATTTGGGTATTCTCAACAACTAATAAAGAATATAAAATTATTGCAGCAGTCGATTTGGTTTGATTGAGTGCATAAACAATATGATTTGACAACTGTTGTATCTATTTTAAAATCTTCTCCAACAAATTAAGGTCAACCTTACATTAATTATATGATTTGATTGTTGCCCTATCAATTATATGAGAAAATAATCATACCTTGTGTCTGAAGGCACGTTGAATTATAAAAATCGTGTCTAAAAAATTGATTTCACTATATTAAATAATAATTTTTTTTCCTTTATTCATTTGATTACATCATTTAAAATTTATTTTTTACCCATTATTTTTTTTAAATATTAACAAAAATGCGTAATCCGGTAAATTTTTTCAATATGTATATATTATCGTATATGGATAATATTGGAAATAAAA